GGATTGACCGTCCCATTATAACGCTCCCACGGCTGAAAGGACGAGCATGTTTGGTAGGATGCGGATTCGAACCCGCGACCCTCAGATGGTGAGTCGAGCGCCTTATCCACCTGGCCATGCCGGGCACAACATTTAGGTATTTGTTCAGTGTACCGGGATGGAAAGCCCAACTTCAGGTAGCTGGGTTTCTCTCAACTCGCGCGATTTATACTTGAACAAAGGGAGGAGGATGGAGGCTTAAGAACTATTAAGGTAGGGGTTATTATTTCTGTTTAACGTCCCTTTGTAATTATTAAATAAAAGGGTGGAGGTTGAGAGTCTTATAGAAATATAGGGTAGTATTTTTCTACTATAAGAATATTTTTTGCCTTTTTGTACATCTCATAATATTAAAAATAGGGGTGGAGGTTGGGAGTTTTACATTATAGAATTTAGGGTTGTTTAATTCTACTTTAAGGTTATGTTTAAATATTAAGGGTTACTGCCTTCCCACAAATGGCTGCAGACAACGAAAGGTAGTAGGAGTTGAGAGTTGTGGTTTCAAACACTTAACTCCAACCCTTAACTGATTCTTCTTAGTTGCTGGCTAGTTTGAAATCGGCGTCTGGATCTTTGTTTTTTAGATGGAATATTACCAACGCGTTCGGGTGCTTTGGCCACAGACACTATCCGTTTGATGTAAGCCAATCGTCAAGAATCATCGCGATCTGGAATTCAGTCACAGATGTCATCAGAAGAGGATTATGTTGGTGAATGCGATGCTTAAGTTCATCCTAAAGATACTCTATTGTATAGAGTAATCATCATAATTATGGTGATTACGTGAGCCAAAAAAAAAAGAATCAATTAAATCACTGTCATGATCTTTGAACCAATTTTGGACAATAATGAGATAGTTTGTTGTATTATCGTCTTGTTCATCAGGGTGTATCGTTAAATGAGCGTGATCAGCAACAACGTTCAGATACACGTGGAATCTTATTATCTCTTTTAAATAAATTAGAATATCCAGATTTTGCCGCGAGAACAATTCCTATGCCATCACATCATCTCCAGCTGTATTACATTGTCAGATTGGAACCATATAAACAGGGTCAAGTGCCTTATATGGTTTTGATACTGTTTTGTCTTTAGCGATAGTACTGAAAAGAGCAAAATGTCACTACTCATCAGACCGAATCAAACACTTTCAGTCATTCATTGGCCACATTTTACATTAAAAGTGTCACAAAAATGGTGATTTCTTGTCCGAGTCTCCAGTAATGGTTATCTGGACTAGTTATCAGCTACCATTTCACAACTTTTGTAATTTCCTCTTTTCGTGAATCCTTAACTTGTTGAAGATATTGGTCAGTTGGAAAACAATTTATCTGACGTTTATTGTATTTACAAACCTGTTCAATTGTCTTTAGCATTCAATTTTCTCTAGTGGTTTACATCCACATTTTTTTTCTAGTGGTAGCTATTTTACCATAAATATTATTAACAGACATTGATGATATATGTCTACAAATGGTTGGTCACGACAATAATCTTTGATAACGACACTTTTGCTAGACATACACTCACAAGCATTCCTCTTGTCTCAGAGACTAACCGTATAGGGTTCAAACAATAACTATGGACATCACATGATTAAAAAACAAAACAAAAACACTAATACGTTTAGAGCTCTTAGTTAGGTAATCGTAATGTTCTAGTATAATGTACCTTTTTTACATATTCTAATGAATGAAGTGTTCTACGTATCTGAATGTGGGACCTTTAAGAAAGTGTTCGAATAGTTTATGAGATTGGAATCATAATTCGTGCATATATGCACATAACTGTTGTAAAGTACCAGGATTTACATTAGATAGTTTTGGAATTTACAAATTATTGAATGTCATGGTGACATTTAAAAACTGGTTTATTTGAGAAAAAAAGTCACTAAACATAATCCATATATCTAATTAAAGAAATTATGATTTTTTTATATATTTCAGGTATGAAAACAATGTGTCTGAAAATGTTAACCATCCTTTTTCCAGTCTCACTATGGCGCATGACTTAAAGCTCTGAGGAAGTAAAAAAATCGCGTGTTTGTTGAAAATAAAACATAAATAGAGCAAATACCTAAATAATAGCTGACACACTAAATTCTATAGGATATTTATGTAGACTGACACACTAAATTATATAGGATATTTATGTAGACTGATACACTAAATTATATAGATATTGTTACGACAGTGGGGTCACGTGACGAGTATTCTAGAAGATTCGCTAGTGCGTTACGACAGCGGGGGTCACGTGACGACAGCGGAAGTCAAGTGACACTGGTAGCACGTGTTGAGAGTCTTAGAAGTTTCTAGAACAGGCAGTATTATCGTATATAAGTGCGCTAGACAGTGAGAGAGACAGACGAAGTCGAAGCAGTAGTGGAGACAGAGACGGAGGCAGAGACGTAGCGGAGACGAAGCTGGCAGAGAGCAAGAAAGACAGCGATTACGATCGGCGGGAATTGAAGATAGCAGACACAGAGATCGGAACTATAATTTGCGGGGACGGACAATTAAGTCTAAGCGCGATAGAAAGTGAGTGAATTGTTGTGAACTATAGTGTGTGTAACTGTGAAAAAAACTTGTTTATTCTTCCTCAATACAACTTTGTAATGTACTTAATATAAAGAAAGGAGTTGTATCTTAGAAGAATTAACAAACAAACATACAGAGACGTAACAATAATAACAATACTACATAACTAAAGTTGAAGATACAGATAGTAAAAATAAATTGAAAAAATGTGTACAAACTCTGATACTAGTGTAAAAATAAAAGCTAGTTTTAATCATGATAAAGGTGTCTTTTAAATAAGTAAAATAACTTTAGAGTAAAAGTAATGTATAACAATAAGTCAACCACATTCTTATTTGTTATATCCAGTGTTGACGAGGCCTTTCATTCAATACAAAGGACATCAGGATGGCTGATGTGTGATGTTGCCAGACAAATTTACAAATTTATTGATAAGAAAGAACAATTACATGTTTCTCTGGAGTTAAAATTATTCCTTAAAACAATTATGCTAAACAAAAAAAACATTTCATTCTGTATTCACAGTATACACAGAACTGTATTTATAGTTTCCATGTTGACCTTTAAAAACAACTAAATAAAAGAATACAATTTTTTTTATTCTTAGTTATACTTGAGAATACATACCTTAATGATGGTGGCTGAAATGTTTCTGTCATCTAGCCCCACATCTATTTTGAAAAACACATTAACTTTGTACTTTTGATGGAGTTCCAAAATCATTTTGTCTTTATCCCACCTTTCTTGTGACCATGTTCCTGGGATTATATTCCATCCACCAAGCTCATATATTTTATTTTGCATGTTTCTGTAGGAAGTAAATTCTATGTCTTCAGTGTTCATGCATGATTCATAGAACTTCTTCACCTTCCATTCTGATGATCGCTCTTCGGCATTATGTGGCACCAAATCAATCAAGTGTCTTAGCTGGTGGAAAATTTGATCTCTCATTACATCCTTTACATTTCTGGATCCTTTGCCATCTGTAAACTTGTGGGATTTCATCCAACCATTACAAGAATAATCCCAGAAGTTAGTACAAGGATCATAAGATGCATTCATCCCTGTCAGAGTGGCAGCTGCAACCTTCAAGCAGCCTTGGTTTTCACAGAAGTATTCTTCACGTTTTTTAAAAGAACCCAGTTTCACTGCAAATATCAACATTGATATAAACATGATAAATAAAATCACACATAAGAGGAAGATTATTATAGATGTGGTGGGAATATTAAGAAATGATTCCTTCCAAGATCTACTTTCCTTCTTCTGATCTACATTCCCATTTCCAATGCAGTTATCACTCTCTTTGAATTCTGCCTTTTCTTCATCAATTGTATCAGCCATTGTACCTAAAGAATATGTTCAGTCATTAAAATAATTAAAGAAATCAACAAGCTACATGTTTTTTACAGATTTTATAAGAACAACTGATTATTAAGAAGTTATGATAAAAAGGCACTTTTATCTATAGGTAACTGTAGAGATTGAAACTCAAACTATTTAAATGTAACATATATACATTTTTAAAGAGAATACTATATACGTATAACAAACTAACCATTTAAAACTGATAATCACCACATCAATAAACTATAAAGATTGGGTACCTCTGCTGAGAATAATATTTTCAGCCACAATATCAGCAATACCTCATGAGGTTCAACACACTTAGCTCTACACATAAATACAAACATACACACAATTGTCTTCATAAGCTTAATTATATTTAAAAACATTATATTGCATCTCTTAGTTCATTCAAACACTTCAAAACTATACAAGGTTTAAAAATGCTAAATAACACTTGAGAAAATTATCATTTTACTCATTTATAAAATAGTTATTTAAAATTCTGTAAATACAGTGATGAAATACATTAAACTTTGTTTGTACATGGTACCAATAAATACTTTTGATAACTGAATATTGTATCAGCCAAATGTATTAACATCCATGCTAAACATGTGATATCTATATAATCTGGCTTCGAACCTTCTACAACTTAGAAAACAGATATATCTTTAATGAAAACTTTAGTAGAGATTACTTGTATTTAAATATGCTGCACAAACAGGATGTGAACGACAATATATTCCTTACTCTGTCATACAGTCAGTGCTAGTACACTTGTCTGGTTCTATTTGTGGCCACAATACCAGATAATTTAGTTTCTTTGTCACATTTGTTGTACTTAACATATGCAGCAACAGTGTGGTATATTCAGGTTAGCCTTAGAGTAATGGGATAGGTCTGCTTAACAACAGGAAGTCCAATAAGATATTTATTACAAATTGGTAATGATTATGTGGGTAACTGAGTTTGTGAGAATGAAATTACAAAACTGAACACAAAGTAATTTAAAACTGAACAACTTTTATTAAAACAGACTTTACACAAACACAGTATCTGTGCTTAATTTTATATCCAGGAGATAGTCACTACTATTGGATCAGGTAATTTCCTGTCAAACTGATCAAGTCAAAACAATCTACCACACTATTTAAACTCAACATTCCTTACATTTCATGTAACATTGGATCTACCCAGAGTGACTAGCTCTACCCATGTGACCAGTCATTCTCATTCATGTATATGGGAGGACACAGCCTCAAGATACAACCTCTCAAAGGAAAGAACAGATGTGACTTCAGTAGAATGACAAGGAACAAAGGCAGCTAGAAAAACATTAGCTTAACAACTTTCTTGACCATGTGTTATGTGAAAACTGCACACGCTCACAAACAACTGATAAAGTTAGACTAATAAAATATTAAAGAAAGAAGGTAGAAACCAATGGAATATTTATATACCACATTTTTCTCTCTTCTCTACTTCAAGTTTGTCCTCAAGCTGACAATTAATTTCAACTATAAAGTCAGAAAAATTTTAACTTGTGCCTTGGTCAAAATAGTGCATTAACATTTTTTTTGTCCCTGTAAACACTTACATGTAACACAGACTTCACAACCCCTTAACCATGAATTACAATACATAAACACCCTTTAACAAAAAATTCACATTTCAAATGAATAAATTTCAAACAGCTTAATATAAAATGAAAATTACAAACCATACTGTAAAATAAATAAATACTTTAAACTGTGTTACTCATAGTAATTACTTAGACATCCTTCAATACAAAAACTAACAACAGCCCTTTATCTCCAAATACAAAAATACAATACATAATACACACCCTTCAACATCAAAATGAAATTATCTGCCGAGTATATAAATATCAATAATTAAATATTTTCTTCCTAGCATTAATGAAAATAATAGGTGCACTGTATCTTCAAATAATACCTCACAGGTCAGTAATCACAGGTAATCTCATACCACAACACCTACACATTTAGATAAATTCCCTTTTTTTTTCTATCCATATATCTTTATGTTATGCTCTTTGTGTAACTGACTCATCCATGCTATACAACACTCATGAACATGTATTGCCATACACATACATCTTCATTGCACATTCTCACCTACACTAATAGCTTTAAACAAACTGCCTCTGGCTCCCACATAAATTACTTTATAAACCTACTCAGACTATGTCAAGCAGACTAAATCTCAACAGCAACATGCTGCCATTTAGGCTACATCAAAGTCAACATACTTTTCTTTTCAGGAATAATGAAATACACCGGCAGAATTCAGCTAAACTAATATTTTTCAGATAACATTTTCATAAGTCAAGATTAACATTAATGATGTTACTACAGCATATATACTTTCAGAAGAAACATAAAACCTGCACTGCATGTGTACTTTTCATGTGTACCAGGAATGATCAAGTAAAGGTCATGCAGAATTCTCCATATAGCTCTTACTGCTTAGCTAGACCAGATGAGTAATACTCATAATGATTACTCAATAGGTTGGAAAGCAAGGATCACAAAGTTTCAACTGTATAGTGATCATTCAGGTGTTCAAGTTGCTGGTGGTCTAGACATTACATCTACTAACATGAGTTGTTCTGACTCTGTAATTTCACAAAAAAATCAGGATGAATGAGGATGCATATTTGTTTGACATCAATGTTTGTCCATTTTCTTCAGTTTGTTTGTATTTTTGTTAACAAACATAATAAAATATGCTCATTGTGGTAAACAAAATAATAATTTGATCTAAGTAAGAGTTTTTTTTTCTTCCCGATTTGTAAAAAATCCTTACGTGACAGACAAAAATGAATAATATTTTCGAAATCTGCATAACTAAATTATGGAAAACCCATTATTAAAACCAAGTTTGCAGGCCTGTGTTACTGGTGAAGCAAGTTCCCAAGATGTTTGTCAGTAATTTATGGACACATTCCTGTGTGACAGGATAACTATACACGTTAACATCAGTGTTTAATGTCTTGCCTTGAATGTGGGCAACAGAAGTGCCATCAAACATTAGCACAAGTGCAAATAGCATCTTAGTGCTCTTCTGTCTTTGTGTTATACAAATTATGGAGAATCTTGTGCCTTAAAAGGGCCCCAATGACTGAACACATGAGATACTGGCTAGTTGAGCTGGATGATGAGAGCAGACCTAAGACTGTTTTCAGCACAGAAGATAGCTTGTATGAGTTATGCATCATACCATTTGGACAACTAGCTGTAACACAGGTTGACAACCACAGCCCAGTGGTTGATAACAATCATGCAGCACATCTTCCTGCACTTGTAACTGTTCATACAAGTGCCAAATAGTACATGCATCCATTACATGTTCCTCAATTTGAGCTAATTGTGCATTACCTCAGTGCAATTTAAAGACCACCGAGCTAGATTTGAATCCATTAAGTGCTCTTCCCAAGCTCCAGAAGCATTACTTCATCCAATAAAGGAATCTCTCACAATAGTGTTTTATGATCATCATAACCACAAGCAGTTCTTTCATTTATGTATGGTATTTGTGTTCAGGATCAGTAACTCTCTGACCAGTGTACATGAATACACATTCTACTTCATCCTGTAAACATGATAACACTGATTCAGTTCCACAATCGCTATCACTGGTATCAAACAAGAACTCAGTCCTGTCTTGAATACGACAACATTGAAGCTTCTATTAAAGCACACTTCAAGGACTGGAATACTTTCTCAGAATCCACACTCTATCTGAAGTACATTTCAACTTCAGAGAAAGCAGATAATGTTATGCTGATCTTGGAGAAGTAGACAACAAATTGTAGTCTTCTCACTTGATCATAGGTTAAGGCCCATCTTGTACTACTGCTATGTTAGCCAGATTCCATTTCAACCCACAATATAGCCAAGAAATTCCACTTTTGTGTGCATAAATGCACATTTACTTCATTTCAATTTCAAGCCTACTTTTTTTTATCCACTGTAGTACCATTTTCAGGTTATCAACTATAAACTTCAATAATCAACCAAACACTAAGATGTCGGTCGACATAGTTCAGGCACTGCACCCATTAGTGATGGGTTCATTACACAGGCTAAATGGCTTGATGCATAATTAATACAAGCCATCTCTTATAATGAAAGAAGTCTTACATCTGCTCTCATCATCCAACTCAAATACTTAGTACTCAGATGACATGTTTAATGTGTTCAATCATTGAACCCTTCCAAAGCATCCAGACATTCATCTGTATTTCAATATTTAAAATCAATGCAGAACATGAGTGTACCTTCCATCTCTCTCACAATCATTATTGGAGACTACCAAGCACACTCTGAAGTATATATGAACCTTTAAAATCTGCTGTACCTCACTGCTGGGTACATCCAGAAAAGCCTGCATGGTGGTTGTTTAAAATGATGTGCATCACTTGTAGCTATGAAACACTGTGTAACTTTTGTTTGACCAAATCAGCCATCTAGCCCCACAAATACATCAGCATATTCAGCCAACAATTCCCTGAGTTGCTGCCACTGTGTCGAGTCTAGATTGCCTACATAAGCCTCAATTAGTGATCTCAGATATGGTGGTACTCATTTTTGGACATATTAGGACAGATTCAACCATAGCAATAATGCTAGTCTCAGTTACTTCCACTTCCCTTACAGTGTCAATTACCATTTATACTGATCATCAAAACTTGAAGAAAAACATCAGGACTTCATTTTTCCCCAGACAGACAACTGCCCAAGCTAATACTGCTTACTGTCTGAACAGAAAACAACTTATTTTATGCATAAGCTCTATAACTACATGACATCTACACACTAGACTTCATCCATAGTAAACCACCGAACACTGTTTGTGCAGTCCTCTGTTCCTGAGTTTTGTCTGGCCTGCACTGGATAACTCACACAGTACATCAGTTCATCCATTGCACAGGTGAAACTGATTGATAAACTCCACAGTACATCTGTTCCA